TTTGTTTAAAATTTAAATAGATATGAATTTGCCTAAAATTTGAAAACTTTTTTAACTTTTGGGGAATGGGGATTGTAGTTGAAAAAGGAGGAAAGGGTAGAAGGATTAGGTTAGGGATAAGTTTTTTTCAGCTGATTAAGAAATTACCAGACTATCCTTCAGCAGACGGAATTCATTAACAGAACCAGACAAAAAATTGGTGTTGTCATTTCCAAACTTTTTTAGTACCAAATTAGTTTTACGGCAAACTATGGATGGCTGCGTGTTGTTTGTTCTAGCTCAAAAAGCTAGAGTACAATGTAGTAGATAAACTTAATATCAACCTAAACATGAAACATGGGATCCGAATGTTATTTAATAGAATGTCTTGTATGTATGATCAGTGTGGGACTTATTTAGAACTTTGGTCCCAAGTGTCAACGGGATGCTTTTCACATACTTATGTTTCTTGCCTTTCTTCTTGTTACTCAATAAAAATGATGTGTTCTGTATTTTCTTTCTTTACTTTTAGGGATGGCAACGAGGCGGGGTCAAGGCATGGAAGCCTTCCCATCCTCACTTCATTTCCCCGCAACAAAATTAACATTTATCGCAATTTTTAGTACATTCTGATTTAGTGTTTATGTTTTCTGAAAGAATGACCATTAACAAGGGCAGAGCTATATGCTGGCCTGGCGAGGCCCAGGCTCCACAAAAAAAATATTTAAATTTTGTATTAAGATATACTTTTTCACATCTAAATATTCATCTTACCTTTGGGCCCCCTTATTTGTTGAAGCTGACTTTTAACTCCCTTTAATATAACTTTCTAAATTTATTTTTATACTCTAATCCCTTCGCTTGTTGAAAATTAATTGGGCCGACCAAAAAAATTTCTGACTCCTCCCGTGACCATCAACATATTGTAGCAATACAGTTTAGCACAGCACATTCACTCTCTTTACTTTGCGAATTTTGTGTACAATCCTTGGCTGAAATTACGGCCAACATGTATCCAAGATAAAGATTATATGTTGGCTGAAAATTCAGCTTTTGTTTAACAGATAATCTGAAAATTAGCAGAAAAAACAGAGGAACAAAATAGAGCAACGTAATTTCTTAGCTAAAGATTTGATTCTCCATGCATCATCAAACAAGGTTATAGTCTCATAGACTAGCTTTTATTCTTCTGTTCAAAACCAAAATTTAAACAATTACATGAACATTAAGATTAAATTGGACTTATAGTGGGTACTAAGTAGCAGTAAAAAAATTGTGTCACCATTGATATCAACACAAAATGGAAGACAGAAAGCGGGGAGACTTATAATTGTGAAAGTTTCTAGGTTTATTTGATAAAATATTTTAGAATAATTATATGTAAGGCTATTATTGAACAATTAACTAACGTTCTAATTCAGATGATTCCATTATTCTTGGAATTCTAGGAGGAGAAGCCAAACAGAGATAAAAGAAGAACCTGGAAGAGCAAATTACTGAAGGCACAATTGTTCCAAGGTTTCGGCAGAAAGGTATTGTTTTCTTGAAGCTGGAACATGTTACCCTCAGATATGCTTCCACAAATACGGAAAAATTTGTGTCGTCTGTATCTGTAGACAGAGGTTAAAAAAATTGGATAAGTCTACGGTCAGATAAGATTGTTTAGTCGTAATCTCTTACGGAACACCTAGAAAATTAAATATTAGATAATCCAATTTGGTTTGATATGCGTTCCCTCCCTTAATTCATGTAACTTGTTGGAATTTCTTACGAAATCTAAAACAATTTTGATACTTTTAGTGAGAAATATACATTTTAATTAATACATTATAGGATTGGCACTGTAGTAGTGTTGAAGAATCTGCTGGCCGTGATGTTGGAGAAGATAGGAAGGGCTTTGGTGGGATTTCCAAAGAACCGAGACTCCCTTCCAACATGCCCACCACTCTACTCACTGTGTCTAAGGAATTACTTTGGATGCATTACAAGCTCACTATTATCATCTTTCTCTCAAATTCTTTATCCTCTTCATTTGCAATGCCTTGGAGCTCAAATTCTTTATCTACTTTAAGACGCTGGTAAATCTAATGTGGTAAATATATTTCATTGGTATAATCAACTTCAACATTGATATTTTTTCTCCCCCCAACCATTTCCGAAACCGTTATCCATAGCTATAAATATCTAACTTGTGAGAGACTGGTGCAAAGCTTCTAGTTAAGTTAACAAAGCACACAGGAATGAAAGTGCAATTTATAATCTGAAACTCTGTAGAAAAATAGAGGACCGAAACAGAGAACCAAACACAGTAAAGCCTTTGTAGTTTCTTAGCTAAAGATTAATTAACACCAAGGGTTCAACTTTAATAAGGTTATTGAGTAGCTTTTATACGTCATCTCACTATCAATTTATACATGATATATGAACTATGAGATTATATTATAAAACGAGATAGAGAGGGATAGAATGGAGAAGAAGAAGATTATAATTTCGTAACGATAAGCAGAAAATATCAATAAGAATTTGATTAAGGAGATACACTACCGAGTCATAGGACCAGATTCAGTCCTAATTTTCCATGTTGTCCATCTCGACCTGCAACAGAAGATATAAAGAAAGATGTATACGTTACTATTAAAACTTATAGGTGTGCCCTATAGAGCTGTTACTTTTCTTGGCTAGATGAGATATGAAATTGCAAATATGTTCTGTTTCTTATTCTGAATTTTACCGGAGATTAAACCAAATTTTCTATGAATTTTCACAAGCATAATGTGTGAATTTCCTCCCATAATGTTAAAAAACAAAGGAGTAAAAAATAAAATAAAGAACAACACAATATCGGAAGAACATCAACCACACAAAGACACAATATTTACGTGGTTTGACATAACTTGTATACATTCACGTATGAGAGAGATTTTCAGTGATTTTCATAACACAATACATGAATGCATCACACCATTAACCTAGTACTTAGGCGGGAATTCCACCCTATGGTGTTTTATCAGTACAACACCATCAACCCTTTACATAGGCGGACACAATCAACCCTTTACATAGGCAGACATCTTGTTCCTATGGTGTTTAATACCCCTTAGTATTTACCCGATACCTAAAGTCATTTACCCTATGGTACCCTCACATCAAAACCCTTGTGTCATCACATTCTCTCTTTCTCTTATTCCCCCTCTCATAACCTTAAATTGGTCCTAACCCCTCTATTTATAAGTAGAATAAGACATTCTTTTTCTACTAGGATTTATATTTCAGATAAGATTCCTCTAATTTAATTCATTCTCATATTTTAACTCAAAATAAAATCCTAAATCAATTTTTCTTTCCTAATACAACTCAAAGTAAAAGGAAAACAAATATTCTCAAATACAAACTCCTAAAATAAAAATTTGGCTAAAACATAAATTCATTTTTCTTCTTTAGCAATATCTTCATCAATTACCAAAAAGTGTTCACATTCCAACGCACAACATGTTTGTTGCAATAAATACAAAATAAATTAGACAGATTATTTTTTATACCTGTTCTTTCAAATTGGTTATTGGCCCTTTGCTGTTAATTTGACATCAGCCACCTGTCTTTTGACATGCTCTGTTTACATTCAGTTGAAGGCAGAACCAACCAATATATAAATTAAGGAAGTCGACACCGTTTTGATTCTTGTTCACTAGGAGCTGAATCACAGAACAATGGGAATTAAGTCTTTGGAATTCATCATCGATTGAGCCGTTTTGGTAGCCAATTAACTGTTTGGAGTCTTTGCAGTCCGGAACGAAATTTGCAATACTTCTATTACCGGGACATCTGAAAAAGGTTTGATCGAATTGTTCAAAGATATAAAAGGAACGCTCAAATTTTTGAAGGCACAAGTGCCCAAAGGTTTTGGTGGTATTGTTTCGTATTCTTGAAGCGAGACCATGTTAGTCTGAGAGATTCTGTAATATAGAACCATGGCCAGTCTTTATTCAGCTGAAACCTTTGAACTTGTTCATCGCACTTATCTATCTTCCATAATCCGTAATCAGAATTCGTTCCACTGAAGAAGGGAAAGCCTATGCTTCCCAGGTTTCCACATTCAAAAGGTAGACATCTGGGGCTGACTCCATCTTCTTCTTGAGCCAAGGCAAGAGATAATAAAGAACAGAAGGTTAGTCCCACGAGACATTCAAAAATTCCCTAATTGGCAACAGATATGACAACAGCTCCACCGAACATCAACTATTACTATCAAGAAATCTTTGAATTACTTCTTTTGATTTGTCATTTCTGTTATTGTTTCTTCTCAGTTGTTTATCCTCCAAAACAGCAGTTGACTTGGGGTCTTCTGAATTATATATCATATATCTATGTATCTTGTTGATTTATATTTCAACTCTTGTAATACATATCTATTGTATATTGTTTTCTATATAACTATTACACAATTACCAAGAAGACTTTAAAAGCTCAGATGGAAATTGTTGAGCCAACTGATATTTTGCTGGAATAGTACTTAATGCAGCTGAAGCTGATGAAGCTGAAAGAAGTAGGTGATTGGAGCTGAAAATAATGTGGTTTAAGTCATCTGTTTTTGTGTTAACTACAGCAAGTAATGTAGCTGCATTAAAGTTTAAAATTCATATTTTTTGTTTAGTTAGATTTGTGCGGTGCTGGTGTAATGTTTTAGAAAAATCACTACAAGTTTAGGTGTAATAGTTGATGTGAAACTTTTGTATATATTTCAGTTCAAGTTAATGAAAATCCGATGAACTCTTAAGCCAACTTCATTGCATTCGACTCTTTCTTCTTCCCTTTACACCTTTAGCTAAAAAGCCAACAGAGATGATCCTGGTCCTTTGGTTAGATAATTGAGCAATTGACTTGGAAAGAAGACTTGTAATAGAAGAGTGTACATTTAACTGACACTTAATTCTCATTAAACAAACAAAAATTGCATTGAAGAGTCCAAGAGAAATATATAGTAATAATGATTATTTAGCGTTTTGGGTTGAGGTGAAGGTGGAGGAGCAAAGCAAGCCAGTGATCATTTAGTGCCTATGACCAGAACAGAGTTAAAAAGCAGAGGTTTTAATCAACAGAAAAAATTTGAAAATTTACTAATACATCTGAAGTCACTTCTTAGTATGAAGATATGCATGTTGATTAATACATCATTTCAGGAACTACTTAACTTAGTAGGTTAATTGAAGAATCTCTTGGGGCTGATCCCGGTGAAGACAGGAAAGGCTTGGGTGGAATTTGCAAGGAATTGATGCTCCCTTCCAACATCTCCACTACTCTACTCATTGTTGGCCGGTTCGAAGGATTAGTCTGTATGCACCACAAGCTCACTATAATCATCTTCCTTACACATTCTTTATCTTCTTCATTTGAAATGCCTAGCAGTCCAAGTTCTTCACCTACTTCAAGACGCTGATAAATCCATTGCGGAAAATATAATTCACTGCTATTATCAACTCCCACATTGTTATTTTGTCTTCCTCCTGTCATTTCTATAACCATCATTCCATAGCTATAAACATCTGATTTGTAAGAGACTGCTCCAAAGTTTCTAGAAAATACTTCTGGAGCAATATAACCAATTGTCCCATGTGCACCTGTCATTGATATAATACTCTCTTTCTGGGGGCAAATTTTAGCAAGACCAAAATCAGAGATTTTCGGACAAAAATTTTCATTGAGGAGAATGTTATGAGGTTTTATGTCAAAGTGCAAAATTCGTATGTTACAACCGCGGTGTAAATACTCTAACCCTCGGGCTATGCCTACCACAATTTGGTACAATGTTCTCCACTTCAATTGATGATCAACCTTCAATGGATTCTTCTCATCTATGAATTTATCAAGAGATCCATTTGACATAAACTCGTAGATGAGAGCTCTTGTACGACCCTCAAAACAGAAACCTAAAAGAGTGACAATATTGACATGGGAAGTCCTACTAATGCTAGCAACCTCATTGATAAATTCTTCACCATTACCTTTGGAATCAATTAAATTCTTCACCGCTACATAGCGACCATCAAGTAGCCTACCTTTATAAACACCTCCATATCCTCCTTGACCAAGTTTGTGTCTAAATGAATTGGTCACTTTTATAATATCTGAATAGCTGTATCTTTTAGGAAAATGGGATCCATGATTCCTTAAAAATGCCTCAATGTTTAGGTGATTCTTTGTTTTCTTCTTCCAGAAGAACCATGACATTATTTGAGAGGACAATTTTCTCCAGAAGTAAAAGGCCAGAATTACCAATATGCTAGTTGCAGTGACTAAGATGCCTGCAATTAATTGAAGACAGGAATTAGCTGAACACAATGATGGCAAATTGTTAAGACAATTTTGAATGGTCAATATGAAGGGCGTCAATGCCACAAATATTTGTATATATACATAAAGAATCACTTGCAAGACTAACTGAAATAGTTCAAGTTCTAGGAAAAGGGACATGATGGCTATATTTTTAGCTGCAACTTTTGATATGTCTTTAACACGAATAGAGACCATAATACCAAAGAAATTTTCTTAGAGGACAAGAACAATTATAACATGTTAATGGGTTCTCTGTGTCAATGGACATGCAAATGATTGATAGGAACTTTGCCTCATAGTTTAGACAATTGAGAGACGATAATTCAAGCTTTTGTACAGTTTTAATATCTGATTCATATACTCGTGTTCCCCAAAAATTAATTCTCGAGATGAATTCAAGCTCCCTGGAAATCTAGTGATAGAAGCAAAGAATAAACAGAAAGTAAATTCAATAGAATATTTGGTTAAAGAGGTATATTACCAAGTCCGATGCCTAGCTTCAATCCCAATTTCTCATCTCCTGCAGCAAATTACAAATAAGATGGCATTAGATTATCCAAATTCTTGTCAAGATTTTGAATGTAACAAAAGTCATAATAATCTTCTTGTGACAATCTGAGCTCTTCGACCTAGTGACGGCTCTAATGTTTTGGCATGGAATCAAAATAAACGCACGCAGATTATTGAGCAAAAAACCAATCTGTGAAACCGGGAAATCCGGACATGTTTTTAAGCAGGAATGAATCCTAGTACCTCACTGTAATTTTTTATTACCAGTTCTTTCTGTCACAGAACATTCAAACTTTCCCTCCCTATCCGTTTGGCCATGCCCTCCCGCAAAAAAAGCAACCATAATAGTCGCTTGTTACATTCAATTCCACAGAGAAAAAACCTGTAAATAAATCAGAATATTCAACACTTTTTTGAGTCTTATTCACTCAGAAGATAATAGGTGAACACTGAGGTGGAAGACCTCGAAGATGATCAGTTGGGTTTGAGTAGACGATCTAAGAGTGCTGGGAGTTATTGCAGCCAAAACTGAATTTGAATCATATTATCCCGAGAGATTGCTGAAATATTAAACCAATACCCCTCCTTGCCCAACTAAATCATCCGAACTAGATCAGTGCAGTTATCTACAATCATCAACCCACACTCAAGATACGATCGATTGGAGAAAGGGAAGCTGATATTGCCCATGAAACCATAATGGAAACATGGACATATTGGATTCACTCTCTTTTCTTCTTGAGCCAAGCAAAGAAGTAAAAGACGAAGAAAATATTCAAAGGCTAATTTACTGCAATTTCAAATCTCATCCCTAGGGAATAAAACAACGGAAGTACTGTAGGTTGCATTGAAAGCACAAGTAACCACAGATTTTAAGTAGTTGACAGGAAACAAGTCTTTGCAATTACCAAAAAAGAAGAGATCGGCATGGTAAGGTCTGAAGCTGAGGGAAGCACGCTCACAACATAATGGCCATAAAATGATTGTCCATCTTGTTCATTACAGAACAAACTAGAAACTTTACCAAATGGTCAACAAACTTTGGAGAAGTTTTTGGTGGCCCTATTACAAAAGTTGAGAAAGAGGTGTGAATTGGGAAAAGGGGCTTGACATGTATGAGGAAAAGCTAGACATGGCGTGGTTTGAGAGAAAGACGACAAAGATGTGGACTATAAAACTAGTGATTGGTTGTTAATTAAACATTATTGTTAATAAATGCGGACGAACTTGTACTTTTTAAAGTCTTTGTAGTTATCAGTTGAAGTTGGGAAGAAAACCTAATGATATTTCAAGAATCTGTCTAGCTTTTGAAGAGGCTCCCTACTCTAACTCAGTCTCTCATGAAACAGAGGATTTATTGGCACACAATTCATACAAAACAGACAAACAGGTCTCTGCAATGGCAAGCAATTCGATCACATCATAGGCCAAAAATCAGTAACAACAATTTTTCCATAAGATTCAGCTCAGGTTGATGATGAACTGAAAGGAACAAACTAAAGAATCATGAAAAACTTGGGGATTTACCTATCATGCTATGACAAACTAAACTGCTTTCTCTTAACCCGGGTAAGGAATCAAGCAAAATCCACTAGAATAATACGAGTAAAAAGCAAGAGAACAATTGTTGTCTTTTGTCATGTTATTAAACTAATCCACCTCCTATGAATGTATGAAGCGGCAGATAAGTGTCTCACAATTATTGAACTTCAAGGATGAGCACACAATTCATACAAAACAGACAAAAAGGCTTCTTTAATAGCAAGCAATACAATCACACCATAGAATCTTATCGAACACAACGATTTTACCCATCAACAATATAGCAACTAGTAAGATTCAATGTCAAATGTTCAAATAACCTAGAAGTTCTTAGTGTTCTGCTTTTATGAGTGGCCACTTTAGAGTTCTATAAACAAGTGGAAAGCATCCACTCACAATTGTCATACTAATCTTTACTGTATATGTGTTGGAGTTCCACACCGATTAAACACGCTTAAGCCTACTAGTTTATAAGAGGGAATAATCCTCTCATTCAACAAGGTCTTATTGGGTGAGGAGTTAGGCTCACCTCAAATTCTATCATTGTATTAGAGCTAGATTCAGTTGAATTAAGTGTTTAACCAGCGGGTGAGAAGTTAGAGCTAGCCACTACCTCCATCAATAGACATGACCCAACATATGGGCTTGATTGTGAGGGGGAGTGTTGGAGTTTCACATTGACTAGACACGCTAAAGCCTACTGGTTTATAAGAGGGCGTAATGCTCTCATTCAACAACATGGGGGTAATGCTCTCATTCAACAACATATGGGCTTGACTGTGAGGGGTACCTCCATTAATAGGCATGACCTAACATATGAGCTTGACCGTGAGGGGAAGTATTAGATATAAGAGGGGGTAATCATCCCATTCAACAAAGCTTCATTAGGTGAGGAGTCAGACCCACCTTAAATTCTATCAATATGGTAATTCTACACACCTTAGAAATTCATAAGGACTACTTTGTTATCATCCAATGCAATTTAGCTCTACCTATCTAAAATGCACAGATTTCACCCAGACAAAGAATCATCGACCACCAATTTTTCAGCAATCCAGTTCATTTCAGTGTAAATCCATCTTCAACTTCGCATAGTCAAAACTAGTTATTTTTTCATCCCTTTCCTCTAATTAAATAGGTGCAGCACAGAAACTAAGTATTAGCGGGAAATTTTACTCCAATTTCAAATCCTCATCCCTAGGGAATAATGCAACAGAAGTATGTGGGTTGCATGCTTCAAATGGAATCACAAGTAACCACAGATTTTGTGTCATTGACAGGAAACAGATCATTGCACTTATGGAAAAAGATTAGATCAGCGTGGTAGGGACTGGAGTTGAGGCAGAAATTATGAAAAATATTTGTGACCATATTTGTATGATCCGAATTCCAGACAAGATTGAGCATAGGACTGTCAGAATTGCCAATCTGAGACTCATATAGAGGATAGATCATGCTGCGACTTACTAAACTGCTTTCTCTCAACCCGGGTAAGGAATCGGTCAAAATCCATTAGACTAATCCTAGTAAAAAGCTACAGAAAAGTTATTGTTTGGCAATTTTGGTATTAAACTAAATGCAGCTCATACAAATGTATGAAAATCATCTAGTAACTTAGAACAAAGAAACAGATATTTTAAAAAAGCAAAACAGGACATGTATGTAATTTTTGTTACCTGTTCTTTCTTCTGAACAATAAAAAAATCCCTCGCTATTCCTTCTACAACCGCGTCCGGTCAAATTACAATCCACTCATTCTCTTTCTCCTTTCTCATAACACTTAAACTTCCCCTGGCTATCAGTTTTACATTGACCTCCCTCCAAATGACGGTTAAAACATTCTTTAGTTACCTTCACTACCAGTTGGAATTTATAAGTCGACAGATTGAAAATTTCACCACTGTTATGTGTCCTATTGAACAGGAAGCGAATACGTGAACATTGAGGTAGAGAATTAGATAAAAGAGGCCCCGGAGTTATTGCAGAGAAGAGGGTGAAAGTCTGTGGGCTTAGTATAGGTGAGGGGGCATTTAAAATTGTTTGGTCATTGGGAATTTCAAACGAGAGAAAAGGAGTAATGGCAAGAGTTAAGTTTTTGAAGGATTCGTCAAAGTGATATAAATATTCTGGGTCATGAAGTGTAACTGTATTATCCTTTAAGATGTTTACAGCATCAAAAAATGGCACGTGGTTTGGATATTGTTTGTCACATTCATCTACTATGCATAACCCACACTCAGGATGCGTTCGATTGGAAAAGGGGAGGCCGATCTCGCCAAGTGAACCACAAGAAAAAGGTGGACATCTTGAATTCCACCTCTTTTCTTCTTGAGCAAAGCAAAGAAGTAAAAGATGAAAAATAACAAAGAACACAACACAATAGGCACGACCCATTCTAAACTTCTCCGTTTGGCAACAAAAGCAGCAACAGCTTCCCCGACTCTCAACTACTAATACTGTTAAGAAGTCTTTGCTTCACTCCATTTTTGTCCAATCATTCTCTGACTGTTTCTTCACAGTTCTTCTCATTATAGACACGGCAGTTTACTTGGAAATTTTACAGGGAAGACTTGAGAAAAACAGAACGAAACAAGAGCTAGATGGGACATTCGCGTAAATCACATACGTACAGTGCATGAAAAATCAATTTTTATTGGTCTGCCAAAAGACTAATAGTTAGTAACTACAAAAAGAGTTGACGATTGACCTACTTGGAAGTCTTTAAGTCGTCCTCTCCACTGCTTAACGCGCATAGGTAAAGGACCTAGAGAAATACAAAATCTACTCTCTATAATTCTCATGAGATCAGAAAATCGACAACATAATACCCACAAAATGATTGCCCATTTTGTTCATTACAGAACAAAAGAGAAAAAATATAAATAGATAAGGTAGCGTTTTGGGTTAATAACTTCCTGATAATCGAGGCAAGAAAGGAACAAATTCTACAAAGAAAGTGATGTGCAAATTGGGCCATTGTAATCTCTAAATTTAAGAGGTGGTTGTCATTGTGATAAAGAAAAGTCTTTCCAGGTGATGTAGGCAACAGGGCAGCAAATGTAAGCACAAGGAAATCTATTGACATTTCAAGAATCTTTATCTGATTTGGAAGAGGTTATCTTCTGTAACCATGTCTCATAAAGCAAAGGATTTAAATTCAAGTTATCATTGTGATAAGACTATTAATTGAGGACAAACTTGTTTCCTTGAAAAGTCTTTGCAGTTAAAGTAGGTAGCAGGGCAGAGAAAAAATGTATGCACAAGGAAATCTGATGAGAGACACAGGATTTAGTACCTCAGAGTTGTTGAACTTCAAGGCTGAACAAATAAGTCATACAAAACAGACAAACAGGTTTCTGCAACAGCAAGCAATACAATCACACTTATCTGTTAACTTAGAATTGCTTAGTGGTCTGCTTTTATGAGTAGCTACTTGCTCTACAGAAGTTTCTATATACAGGTGGAGGA